TGAGGTCCCAAAAGGCACCCCCTACCCGTGCAAGGCCATTTAGGGACAGGGCCACTCTACTCCATAGGTACTCTATCAGAGGAGAAATATTAAATTTTGATTTAAATCTCACGCCTATGTAGGTGATCTGCTCATCTAGGCGGACTCTATCTCATCCTACTCTGAGACTAATAGGGTGGGCCCTGTCCGTAGAACCTTTCAACAGTATGGCCTGGGTCTTCGCCGCCGCCATCTTCATTTTCTTCGTTGCACACCATTCTTCTACTATGGTGGCGCATCTTTCTCCTTCCGCAACCAATCTCGCTTTGCTATTCGCTGCTACTATGGCAGCCAGGTCATCAACATAGGCAACGTCACCGAAGCCCGCTACCTCCAATTCCCCCAGCAACTGGTCAAATACTAACTTCCACAGAGCCGGGCCCAGGACTGAGCCCTGTGGACATCCTATTTCTATTATCCGCTCTACCTCATAGAAGGTACCCCGTATCCTAGCTTTCCTATCGCTGAGGTACCCCCTAATGAGGGAGTACAAGTTGCTGGGGGCGTCGAACTGTTGGAGGCGCTGGAGTACGCAGGGCCACTATACGCTATCAAAGGCGGAAGATATGTCGCAGAGGACCATCATGACAAATTTTTCCGCCTTGTCATCAACCTCCCTGCGTAATCTCATCAGGTCATCTCCGGTGCCGAGACCCTTCGTGGATCCGTATTGCCTCAGGTGACTCGCTGCCCGCAGGACTTGCGTCAGACTCTTTATAATGATGTGCTCCAGGACCTTGCTCATTACAGGGAGGAGGCATATGGGTCTGTAGGATTTTGCTAGCTGCTTGTCCTTGCCTCCCCCCTTGCATAGCAGTCTCATGTCGGCGATCTTCCATTGAGTTGGGAAGTGCCCCCTATCCAAGCATTCATTCATTATCTCAAATAATTCTTCTTCAATATAGGGAGCACTCCTCTTTAAGATCGCCGCATCGATGGTGTCGAGTCCCGGAGCTCTTCCTAACCTTTGTCTGTCTATTGTCATCCGCAGGTCCCACATGTCCCATGGTGGAATGAACTCCGTGCCAGGCGGATACTCCGTAGTTTGCCTCAGAACCTTATCCTCTTCGTTGTCTTGGGACGGGTCATCCCTAGGGTAGGTCTGGTCCAACTATCTTCCAACTCCTCCTCGAGGGTGGCTGCTGGTCCACCTGCAGATCTTATTGCCGCCATTATTTGACCGGGTTTAAGTTTATCCATTGCCACCCTGCACAGAATTCCCCAGGGATTCTTCTCACTTTCAGTTTTTATGAACTGGTCCCAGGAAACTCTCTTCTGGAGTCGCACTCCGGCCTTATATAGCCTATACTTGTCCCGGCATTCTTCCCGGAGTGCTGCTTTTCTTTCTTCCACCTTGCACTTTTGATATCTACGCCTGGCCCCGTGATACTCCTTCTTGAGTTCTGTCAGTGCTGGAGTCCACCATGGAACGCACTGTTTCCTCATTCCTCTGGGTTTCAGCAAGTCACCCACTGCAGCACATATTAGCCTGGACAGCTTCTCTACACGCTGGTCCAGACAGTAGCTCACATGGGCAGTGGGATTCGTACTCTCTTCCCAGTCCTGGTCCACCAACTTGGACTCTAGAGCGCTGGTAAAGAGCATCCAGTCGGCCGTCTTCGTTACGAATCCCCTTCTCCTTTCGCTGTAGTGGTGATCACTGTCCTTTAACTTAAATCTAATGGTTCCATGGTCGGAGCTCGTGTCAGACCGTAGGGACCAGTCGGAAATCCTCCTTCACATGACAGGAGCAGTCACAAATGTGGATGCAGAGGGCTCATTCGATACGATAAACTGGCATCTGGCTAGGCAGTCCTCTGTATCTTTATCTCTTTGATGTGTACCGGACAGTCCCTATTCCCGGTACAATGGTCCATACCCATTTGCTTTCCAGCCATTTTGCATTTCTTGCATTCTGGAGGTAGGCCACTCTTTCTGTTCGGGCATTCCACCACCTTGTGGCCCTCTCCCCCACACCACTTACACGTCTCTGATTTTTCGCTTTTGCTTGGCTTTCAGGATGGCCGCCGAGATGAGACTGTCTTTCTTAATCTCTTCTATAAATTTGGTAACAGCCTCCATCCCAATAATTATGTTTGTCAATTCTCTTATTTGGGCATTGATGTCTTTTTGTCTGTCTTTTGTCAGATTTGTCTTGGATAGGTATTCTTTTAGTCTGTCCTGAATATCCTCCGCCTTTTTAATAGGACATTTTCCTTCATTTCTCACCTTTTTCTAAGGGCATTTCTCTCGCCTATCTTCCTCGATGACTCTACCCTCTTCCTTCTGTCGAGGGGCCTCCACAACTAACTCCTCCATGGCTGACTCGGTCTCATCAGTCTCTCCGCTTCTCTCGACTTCATTACTTGTTTGTTCCTTTTCCATTTTGAGGTTATCCCTTTTACATCCCTAAACACCAGTGTATTATCCTAAAAAGGTTAACTATTTAATTAGTTTGGAATAATTTTAAAATAATATAATAAAATAAAATAAAATAAAATAATATAATATAATCTATTATTCTACAGACTACTAATTCTTTGTTAGTATGAACTGTCTTAAAACTGAAACTAATAATTGCATTATCTTAAATCGAATATAATAGGATATAATAAACTAATAACATATAGAATAACCTACTAACACATTATATATATTATATATATATATATAAGATATACTTGTAAATGGATGATGAATGCTAACTATAAGGGTATAAATAAACTAAGTGAGTACAAACCATAGATATGAAACAATATAAAAGATAAAAGGTAAAGAACAATATAAAGGATAAAAAATCAATATAAATAGATGTGTTAATGTTTAAATTAAAACTAATAATTGCATTATCTTAAATCAAATTTAATAGGATATAATAAACTAATAACATATAGAATAAACTACTAACACATTATATATATATATATATATATATATATATACAAGATATACTTGTAAATGAAAGATGAATGATAAATATAAAGACATAAATAAACTCAGTCAGAAAAAACCGTAGATATGAACCAATATAAAAGATAAAAATCAGTATGAAGGATAAAAAATCAATATAAAGAACATAAATAACAATATCAATATAAAGGACGTTTATAAAATCTTATATAAAATCAATATAAAGGACGTATAACTATAAAATCTATATTAAATAAAATCTATATCAATATAAAATCCATATAAGGGACGTACAAAACAATATTTACAGTATTAACAATTTTACCTAGGCTAGTTATATTTACAGTTACTAAGGGATAACCTAACAGGCCACGTGGCAGCATAAACTATTAGTTTTACCTTTAAACTGACAGCCTGAATTTGTCCAAATTAATAGTGTATGGTGAACTATAGATATGTAGGTGTATGGTGAACTATAGATATGTGAGTAGGGCTTTCAATCCTACATCACACCTTCCAGCAAGTCTGGTGGGTCCCTACCTCCAGCAAGTCTGGAGGGCCCCTCTCATTGCTGGTCTGCGAGTTCATTGGACTTAGCCGGGAGGAACTTCCAAGGACCATCCCCACATCCGCTACCCGAGGGACGCTCACCATACGCGCTAATGAGCCCCCGCGAGGAATATCTTCTAATAATTCATTTATTTTATTTTTTACTTTGTACCAATTTATATTTTGTATCTTTTGTAGCTCTGATGATGACCTACAAAGTGGGTTGAAACGTTGGCATAACCAATAAAATACTATTTAATTTGCACCTCTGAGCAACTTCTCATATTATAATTACGGTCAGCCATATCCATACCATCATAATGGATCAGATTTTTTAATTAAGACATCTTTTTTAAAAATTATAACTCATGTATTTCAGTAACTAGATTTAACATGTGTAAAGATAAAAATATTAAAAATATATCTCAAGGGCCACTCAAACATTATTTTATACAGTTTATTTCTTTTTCTTCCATATTAAATATCATTATTTAAAAAAAACAAGCATCCCCTCTCCCTCCTTCTGTATATGGTGTTTCATTACTCCTCTTTTGAAAATAATGTGGCTTAAACTAATATAATATACATAACTTGGGTGTTGTATAACTCAGTGTTTTAGGAGACAATGGGATAATTTTATATTTATTTAAGATGTCTTTTATGTAAGATGATATTTAAAATGAATTTTATGTAAGATTTAACTATTATATTCTTTTAATGAGTTATGTTGCACCAAATGGGCCATGCTTTATTTGAAGATATCTTTCTTCATTAGACTCATTATTTTCAACTAAGGCATATAGTACTAATGTACTGGTACTGGTGGGGGAACTAGTCCGGCAAGTGAGCCTATTGCGGTCCTTTTTGCCAACTCCTGATGGCTACCTTTGAGGTTGCCGCCGCGTGCTTGCCAGAGTGGGAATGTCACGATCTATTTCCTGTGACCGCTGAGAAATGAAAAGTAACCGACCCAGGTGGGAGTCGAACCGACAACGTTCAGAACCGGGCATTCAAGGACCTTCGTTCCAACGTGCTTGCCCATCCCGTCCTCTAAGGCATATGGTAAGGTAAAAAGAGAAATAATCCATTCTCTTTTGAATTGAAAGAACTTGCTTAAAATAAGGTCTGGATGCCCCTGACCTGGTTTTCAAACCATTCTGACATTACTACTACTATTACTGTTATTGTTGTTAAAAATTTATAAAAGAAAAAGTATTATCAAAAAGCCTCACTAATATCCTTTAAGAGCCATCGTTTGCTGACCCTTTTGCTGAGCTACTTTCCTCTCTATGCTATCCACTTTTGTTCCTGATATATCCTAATATATTATGGATAAATTTGAAATAAATTAATTATTTATTGAGACTGAAAAGGCCTTTTTCTACTAAAAATTAATAGTAAATGAATAATATAATATATTTAAAACTTAAATGTCACTATTTTATTAATAAGCATATGTTTTATCCTTCATTGGTCCTTTGACTTTTTTCTCTTTTTTTCAGGGGCTTTTTTCAAGAATGACTTTTAGAGAACCAGTTTTCATTGGTGGGCGTGGTAATACCTCAGGTCTTCAAGACAAACTCCCTACTGATCATGGATTAAAAGGTTGTGTTAGACATCTTCAGATTAATGACTATGTTTATAAATTTTCTCCTGTACCAAAAGGTGATGCAGTAAAAGGATTTGACATAGGTAACTAATTTTCAGGCTTGAATATTTCATTATGTATGTATGTATAATACAATGCCACAAATACAATTATTAATACTAATGAAGAGAAGAATAGTTGGGGTTTCAGTCAAAAAGGAAGGCAAAAATAAATGATGATATTTATTTTTTACACATGCCGACGTTTCGACCTGAAGTTCAGGCCTTCATCAGGGCTAAGAAAATAACCAGATAACAAGGTATGAGAAACATAAGTAGTGATGGTAAAAAAAAATAATAAAATATAAAAAAAATTAGAAAAATAAAATAAATAAATATAAAGTAAAATGAAATTGTTAGAATAATGACTAGTTCTTAGTACTTGTCATTATTCTAACAATTTCATTTTACTTTATATTTATTTATTTTATTTTTCTAATTTTTTTTATATTTTATTATTTTTTTTTTTACCATCACTACTTATGTTTCTCATACATTGTTATCTGGTTATTTTCTTAGCCCTGATGAAGGCCTGAACTTCAGGCCTATATATATAAACATGTTAATTGACAATATTTGATAAAGGAAAATGTTTTTTAAAAATACCCAAATGAATATGAAAATAGTTTACTGATAAATAATAAAAACTAAGAGATAAATAATAACTAAGAGATAAATAATAAAAACTATGAGATAAATAATAACTAAGAGATAAATAATAATAACCGTTACAAAGTGTGGAATGATGAAGTAGGCATAGTCAAAAATGGTGACATAAGTGTTACAATGGGAATCTTAGAATAAAATGTAAAACATTAAAAAGAAATATGAAGTTATATAAGAAATGAAAATAAATAGTAAAATTAAAACATTGAGAATGGAGTAGTTAGATAGAAAATTGAGATATTGTAAAGTCTATCAAGATGTATAATATAATCGTCCTTCTTACGCCTACAACCTTCTCCAATTCAAGTCCTCAGTCCATTCCCTTTCAACAAGATCTCGACCTTCTGACCTCTACATCCCTTCGCACAGATCTGGCTCATTTCAGAATTCCTTTATAGCTCGCGCTGTCAATTTCTGGAATTCTCTATCTAACAAAATTCAGCATTCCCCCTCCATATCCACATTCAAATCCCAAAAACAGTCAGATACCAGCTAAACTTTCAATATTATACATTTCTAGTCATCATCAAACGACAGTGCTATTCTATACTGAGAATTTCACTAGAGATATTACAAAATTTTCCGGCTCTTAATGCCACTGACCGCATCTATTGTTTGTTTTTTTATTTTTATTATTATTTTTTATTGGTATATAATTAAATCTGTACCTCTAGCATTTGACAATGATGAGTCTACATATTAATCATTATTTAAAGACACTGATATTTTATATTGTCAGCTTTGTCTTTTCTTTGTTAGCAGAAACACACCTCATTTTAAAGAAGAACTCAATGTATTTTTATTATTTTATTTTTCAAAAGACTATAATGATAATTTTTCCTACTGTACATAGTCTTAAGTGTTTTATCATAGTTTTAAGTGTTTTGTATATAGATTTTTTTATTTTTTTTTTGTATATAGCTTGTTTAACTAATATTTTCTTTACTTTCTCTTTTTTATTATTGTTTTATTTCGGCCAGATGTAGTATTTTAATTATGTTCTACTTTGTTATTCTAAAGGGACTTTGTCCCAGAATAAAGTTATTTTCTATTTATATTTCTATAATAAAGAGTTAAAAACAGAGAAAAGGAATGAAAGGAAGGAGGGAAGAAATTGAGAAAGCTGAAATAAGAAAGAAATAAAAGAAGTACTACCTGTCTCCTTAAGTGTTGCAGGGAGAATAAAAGTCGTTGCAAGGGAGGGGGAGAGAGAAGAGATGTGTAGGTGGCGTCATCTCTAACGGTTATCCGACGAAGTTTGTACTAAAGCGCTGGAAGCGTAAATAGGTACGAGAGATATATTACTCAGAAAAATTATGGAAAATTGAACGAAAGTTAATAGAAAGTGAAAGAAAAATTCAAAAGAAAAATAACTATTGAGTAATAAGGGAGAATGATTGAAATAAAAATATATCATATATATATACTCACATATATATATACATATAAATATACACACATACATATACACACACCCACATATATATGTATGTATATACACATACATATATATATACACACACACCTGTATACATATACTCACATTTACATATATATATATATATATATATATATATATATATATATAAGGAAGTTGTCAGCAAAAAGGAAAGGAATATGACTATGGATGTTTTAATAAATTCAGAATTTGGGAGTAGGCTAAAGAAAAGTTCTGTTTTTCAGTTTTTAGATTCACTGTCTTTGGTTGAAGCTGGATGTGGAGGGTTTCAGAAATGAGTCGTTTATCATGGTTGAGAACTGTGGCAAGTATGGATGTTTTGTCGAAATCAAATGAATGATTGAGGGAGAGAGAATGTTCGGATAATTTGGAAGCGGTAAAATTATGAGAGGATACAGAATATTTATGTTGGGTTATGCGGTCTTTTAGGAGATTTCTGGTTTCACCAATATAGGATGAAAAACAATTGGGGGTAGAACATGGAATACGGTAAACGATATTAGAGCGGCGTGAGAGAGGAACAGGATCTTTTAGGGATGTGTATAATTTAGAGAGTGTGTTGTGATATTTAAATGCAAGTCGTAAGTTAGGGTTAGTAGATCGTAAAACTTTGTTGATGTTGTCTGGAAGGTTAGGAATATAAGGTAGAGATCTGTATATAGGGGCTGAAATGGGTTGTGGAGAATTAGTGGAAGTTGAGATTAAGGAAGAGCGATTATTGTGGTCTGTTATAAGTTTGTTAATGACATGGAGAGGAAAATTATTGTTGGACAGGATCTGTTTTATGCGTTTGATATTGGTAACATGACATTGGGGATCAGAGAGGGAGAGACTACGGTGGATGAGATTTTTCGCAACGTTAATTTTTTGGTGGTAGGAATGTTTAGAATGGAAATGTAGGAGTCTGCCAGAGTAAGTTGGTTTAGTGTACCAGTCTGTGGATATGGTGTTATTGGGATTTTTAATGATTAGAAGGTCGAGAAAAGGGAGAGAATTATTGAGTTCGCGTTGTACTGTAAAATTGAGGCGGGGGTGGTAAGAGTTAAAATGTGATAGGATATCAGGAATTTTATTTGGATTGATGATTAGGAGGAGGTCGTCTACGTATTTTCGAATAAAGATGATATCGTCAGGGTAAAGAGGGATAATGGAGTCTAGAAGATCATTGGAAACGTGTGACAACTCCTTATTTTCTTTTGAAGTGGTGAAAAAATCGTTTGCGTAAATATATTCGAGATCAGTGATGAGTTGTGGAATAATTTTGACAGAAGTGTTGGGTGTGGAAAAATTAGGTGGACGATTTTTTCACCACTTCAAAAGAAAATAAGGAGTTGTCACACGTTTCCATCTGTAATATTATTTCCAATTATCTCTTACACCCACTGCTCTCCTCTTCTTCTCTTTCTCCTGAATTTTTCAAAGACCTCTCTTTTACCCGATCCTTCTTAAAATCCCATGATAATATAATCATAACCAGAGCTGATAAAGGCAACAAAACTGTAATTATGGACCGTACAGAATATACTGACAAAATGACTTTACTCCTATCAGACCGTTCCACTTACTCTCCTTCATCCCGTGATCCCATCTCATTATTAAAAACCAAATTTAACCTATACCTAAAAAATCTTTTAAATTCTAAACTCATAAACTATCCTACTTACAGAAACCTTATCTCCTACAATTCAGTTGCTCCCCGTTTTTATGGACTTCCTAAAATCCACAAACCCGGCACCCCACTCTGTCCGATCACTTCCAACATTAATTCTCCTTCTGTTAAACTTAGCAAATTCTTACTAACTTCCCTACAAATCTTCAGCCACAACAACCCTTATGATGGACAAAACTCATTCCATCTCCGTGAACAGCTACTCTCCTTTACCATTCCAGACAATTTCATTCTTTGCTCCTTCGATGTTGAAAGTTTATTTACGAACATACCCATAGACAAGGCACTTACTATAATAGACGACAATTGGACTATCATTGAACCTCACACCTCACTTAACCGCTCCTCATATCTCGAATCCCTTCATCTATGCTGTAAATCAGGCTACCTCACTTTCCAAGGACAATTTTTTTACCAAATCTCCGGACTAACAATGGGTAACCCCCTCGCTCCTGACATCTCTAACATCGTTCTCAATGATCTTCTAGACTCCATTATCCCTCTTTACCCTGACGATATCATCTTTATTCGAAAATACGTAGACGACCTCCTCCTAATCATCAATCCAAATAAAATTCCTGATATCCTATCACATTTTAATTCTTACCACCCCCGTCTCAATTTTACAGTACAACGCGAACTTAATAATTCTCTCCCTTTTCTCGACCTTCTAATCATTAAAAATCCCAATAACACCATATCCACAGACTGGTACACTAAACCAACTTACACTGGCAGACTCCTAAATTTCAATTCTAAACATCCCTACCACCAAAAAATTAACGTTGCGAAAAATCTCATCCACCGTAGTCTCTCCCTCTCTGATCCCCAATTTCATGTTACCAACATCAAACGCATAAAACAGATCCTGTCCAACAATAATTTTCCTCTCCATGTCATTAACAAACTTATAACAGACCACAATAATCGCTCTTCCTTAATCTCAACTTCCACTAATTCTCCACAACCCATTTCAGCCCCTATATACAGATCTCTACCTTATATTCCTAACCTTTCAGACAACATCAACAAAGTTTTACGATCTACTAACCCTAACTTACGACTTGCATTTAAATCTCACAACACACTCTCTAAATTATACACATCCCTAAAAGATCCTGTTCCTCTCATAATTTTACCGCTTCCAAATTATCCGAACATTCTCTCTCCCTCAATCATTCATTTGATTTCGACAAAACATCCACACTTGCCACAGTTCTCAACCATGATAAACGACTCATTTCTGAAACCCTCCACATCCAGCTTCAACCAAAGACAGTGAATCTAAAAACTGAAAAACAGAACTTTTCTTTAGCCTACTCCCAAATTCTGAATTTATTAAAACATCCATAGTCATATTCCTTTCCTTTTTGCTGACAACTTCCTTATATATATATATATATATATATATATATATATATATATATATGTAAATGTGAGTATATGTATACAGGTGTGTGTGTATATATATATGTATGTGTATATACATACATATATATGTGGGTGTGTGTATATGTATGTGTGTATATTTATATGTATATATATATGTGAGTATATATATATATGATATATTTTTATTTCAATCATTCTCCCTTATTACTCAATAGTTATTTTTCTTTTGAATTTTTCTTTCACTTTCTATTAACTTTCGTTCAATTTTCCATAATTTTTCTGAGTAATATATCTCTCGTACCTATTTACGCTTCCAGCGCTTTAGTTCAAACTTCGTCGGATAACCGTTAGAGATGACGCCACCTACACATCTCTTCTCTCTCCCCTCCCTTGCAACGACTTTTATTCTCCCTGCAACAGTTAAGGAGACTGGTGGTACTTCTTTTATTTCTTTCTTATTTCAGCTTTCTCAATTTCTTTCCTCCTTCCTTTCATTCCTTTTCTCTGTTTTTAACTCTTTATTATATTATACATTGTCTATACATCTTGATAGACTTTACAATATCTCAATTTTCTATCTAACTACTCCATTCTCAATGTTTTAATTTTATTATTTATTTTCATTTCTTATATAACTTCATATTTCTTTTTAATGTTTTACATTTTATTCTAAGATTCCCATTGTAACACTTATGTCACCATTTTTGATTATGCCTATTTCATCATTCCACACTTTGTAACGGTTATTATTATTTATCTCTTAGTTCTTAGTCATTATTCTAACAATTTCATTTTACTTTATATTTATTTATTTTATTTTTCTAATTTTTTTTTATTTTATTTTATTTTTTTTACCGACACTACTTATGTTTCTCATACCTTGTTAACTGGTTATTTTCTTAGCCCTGATGAAGGCCTGAACTTCAGGTCGAAACGTCGGCATATGTAAAAAATAAATATTATCATTTATTTTTGCCTTCCTTTTTGACTGACCACCCCAACTATTCTTCTCTTCATTATCCACGACAGTCAACCAATTACCAGTTATTAATACTGATATTGATAGTTTTTTTTTTTTTTTAAACCTATTAAATATCAGGGTAAAGATAGATGAATTACCATCATCTATTTTACAGTATCATTGTCCATAGATTTAACTTTATCTCTCATCTCCCACCTCCCATTTATCTACTTCGATTACTGCTATTTTTCAGAAAATTTATTATTCATGTAATGTGGCTTGATATGGAGAATTTCTCCATGGTCTCTTGCCAACAAGTGTGGCATTCATTGTTTAGAGGCTTCCTGGTGTATTGCTTCAAGCTACATGCCTCACCCATCTTAACGTCTTGTTTTCTTATTGTAAGATACAGATTGACTAGTTTCTATGAGCATTTCTTTATGGGCCCTTCTCCTCCTGCAACTTAGTCATGCCAAAGACAGTTTCAGTTGATGGAATCAGACTGTTTTATAAGGCTTATAATCAGAACTGAAAAATAAGGCTTGTATATCCGGAGCTACTTCCTGTTGTTTTTCAAGCACCTGTTTTAGAAAGAAGAGCTGGTTTAGCTTGTTCCTTTCACTTCTGAATCCTGCTTGGTTATTCTTCTTGTTTTTTTTTCAATTTTCATACTATTGGTAAACCTGGTTTAACAGAATATTGGAAATTATCTTTTAGGCAACCAGAAATAGTGCTCTTCTTCTGTATTTACCATACTCATAAATCAGGATACATTAGGCATATGTTCCAAGCCTTTCCTTTTCCTTTCTTCCCCCCATATAAAGGAAATAGTTTGCCCAATCTACAAAAAGGGTGATAGGATTGCAAAAATTATAGAGGAATATCGCTCTTACCAACAGCATACTGAATTCTTTCCGTAATTCTCTTCAATCGATTGCGTCCCTATGGCAAACAAATAGTAGGAAAGTACCAGACTGGCTTTAGAAGTGGAAAATCCACAGTGGATCAGACCTTTTCCCTGAGGACTATCTTGGAGAGGGGGATTGAATATAATATGACAACTTACCATCTTTTCATATATTTCAAGAATGCATACAATAGCATCAATCGCTCCAAAATTTACAGGGCACTTGAAGAATTTGCCATTCCCAGGAAGCTTATCTTTCCGGAATTCCGGAATCTTAAGATGGAATTCAGAGAATTCCGGAAGCTTAAGATGACAATGCATGATATGAGGAATGTCATCAGAATACAAGGGAGTACTCGAGCGAGTTTCAGACCAATAAGGGATTGCGACAGGGGGATGGTTTGGCATGTCTGCTATTCATTTTAGGGCTTGAAAAGGTAGTAAGGTAGTAGATATTCAGAAGATCAGATAAGAGGAACTATTGTCACCAGAAGTGTCCAGATCTTGGCCTTTGCTGACGACATTGACATAGTTGTAAGATCGAAATCTGAGCTGAGTAACGCTTTTCTGGCAGTTCAACAGGCAGCCTCGCTGTTGGGCCTTGGAATAAATGAGGCCAAAACTAAATATATGGTGGTAAAGGCCGATGGAGTTCAGCACGGAGAAAGTTCCATAGAAATAGTGCCATACAAATTTCAGAGAGTGCAGGAGTTTACTTAACTAGGTCCCTTGTGACGTCCACCAATGACATTTCAAAGGAATTTTGAAAGAGGATAGCAGTAGCCAACCATTGCTATTTTGGCTTAAGGAGGCAGACAAGAGCCAATTACTCACAAGGCAGACTAAGACAAGAAAACAAAACTTTGATTAGGCCGGCGTTGACCTATGCCTCACAAACATGGACAATGACAAATACTGATGAGAATATTCAAGTGGAAAATTTTGTGACGAATATACAGTTCTATGAAAGAAGCAGAAGTTTGGAAAAGACGAAGAAACCGGGAGTTATACATTCTATGATGAACTAAATGTGGTCAACTTCATGCAGGCTTAGAAGGATAATTTGGGCTAGCCATGTGATTCGGATGGAGAATGGTGATATTCCCAGAGCAGTCTTTGAGGATAGGATTGACCGCACCAAGAGGAGAAGTAGGCCCAGGTTGAGATGAATGGTTGGCTGCTGACTCCAGACTACTGCTAGGAATACCAAACTGGAAGGCAGCGGCAATGGATTAAGTTGGATGGTGGAAGCTCTTAGAGGAGGCCAAGACCCACCCCCAGATTGTAGCACCAATGATATAGATAGAGATTTGTTCGACTCAACCTTTGTTTAGACACCTTAGCAAAATGACCAATTTTTACACATTTCTTGCATTTCAGACTATGCTTAGTCGTAGAACACTCTTTCACAGTGTGGCCTATCTCTCCACATTGAAAACTCCTAACACTTCTAATTGAATTATTATCACAATTTGTTCCGCTTAAAAAAGGAATTCTAAGAATTTCTTACTTAGAGATGTCAAGTCCTTTATTGCAAAAAATCTTGTTTGTAATTTCTTTTTTTGCATCGAACCAGGGTTGAAATCTCTCCAGATATTCATTAAAAAAATGTTGATCAGAAGGGGAGCATTTTATTACACTTTTAATAACAACATTAAATCCCACATATTACCCAAACCGCACATCTAATAATACTAATAATAATTAATAATGATAGCAGATATTCCAAAATTGCTCTTCCTTTATATTTATTATACACATATAATGTATAAATACAAGGTTAGATTACATAAATCTTTGAATATATATGTTACTGCTACATGTATAGAAAATAAAGTAGAATATATATTTTTGTATAATTTTAGAGGAATGTATTGCTGATAGATGTAGTAAAGTTCCTTGTCAACATGGTGGAAAGTGTTTGACATCTGGTGATTCAGCGGTTTGCCTATGCCCTTTAGGCTTCACAGGTGATCTTTGTGAAACAAGATTAGACCTACAGGTAACAACTTGAACAATAACTAAAGAATTAATTTCATTGTGTTTTATCTATTATATTATTGATAGATTGATGTAGAGTTAAAGCATCAGTAACAATTTTGGAAAATGCTCCTTACTCGGTTTGAATATTTTCAATGTAGATAGTATAGTGGATCATGAAATAATGCAATAAGTTTCATGCTAAATCTGAGAAAAGTCACTACTCTCATTCCACTTATAATTTGTATATAAAGACTAGTAAGGTTCTGACTACCACACTGTATGTATTTATCTATTAAACAAATAAATCACTGCATTTATTTTATTAAATATACAAAATTATTTTTTTTATTGACCCTTAAATATTATATTGTGAAATAATTATTCTATTTGGGTGTTAGGTCATTTAATTTTCAATTTAATAAACTACATAAATTTTGGAGTTTAATATCTTTATTTGATAACGTTTCGATCCCTTCTTTTCTTTTAAATAGAATGGGATCCTTCCGGAGTATCGAAGCTCAATAAGAAGGTAGAAAAAATTAAAAACTATTGGTTAAGGCATATAATAACTTGTATTTGTGTGCAGATGATGGCTGTTTGTTTTTTCCAGTTCTAAAGGAGATCCTATTCTATGTAAAAGAAAAGAAAACTGCAGCAAGTTTAATAGTATATGATCTAGAATCTTTTAAAGTTTACTTTCGTTTGCACTGTTATTAAGAAGTGGAGAGAATTGAAATATCTTGGAAAAGGGAGGGGGAAGGTTCATGCGCCATCAACCTTGGGGGGGATGGGCACCCATGAATCTAAGCACGAGTAAAGGAGTTAAATAAGACCACAGCCTTAGTCCTGCCCTTCTTATTATATTCCTGGACACAATTTTTAAAACATGCCAGCTGAGGATAGTTGTGGGAAAGTAGAACATGAAGACAATTCTAGTTCAGGTTGGCAGCGGATATGATCTCATAACTGATTTAAAGGAAAATCTACAGCAAACAGTCATTGAGTGAGGAGCTGAGATGGAAAGAAAAAGCATAGTGGTGTACATGGGTCATTAGGAAGAAGTTGTAGTATGCTGAAAGAATACATTAGAAACAAGAGTACATTTATCTTAGAAAAGTGTTCAAAAGGAATGAAAAAGTCTAGCTAGACTTTTCCAGTAGGACAAAACAAACAATGAATAATACACACTATTGACAAGAAGCAGCTAAAAAGGGTCGATTATCTGATAATGATGATTGAAAAGTAACAATGATGATTGAGGACCTGGATCCACAGAAGTTTTTTGGAGCCAAGCCAACTGAATATCAATTGAGGAAGACTTAGGCTCATATGGAGTGACTGATCATATTTCTGTGGTGGCTCAGAATCATGATACTTGTTTGGTTTGAGTCAAGGTACTTCCATACTGAGATTTTCAAATGAAGAAGTGAGAGGATATAAATTGCTAACACATGGCAATATTATCTGCAAAGACAATGTTTTCATAAGCATCTATCCCTGGAAGCAGAAAAAATATTTTATTGTGTGAATGGTGCATGTCAAATTAGTACAAATAATGAGTTGTTTATGTCAAATTAAATTATAACAGTTGTTACATTCAAAAGCTTCTTCTTCTTCTTCTTTATCTTCCTCCTTAGTGCCTTTCAGCATGAAGGGGCCTTCACCCATTTACGCCAGTCATCACGGTTTCTCGCCAGGTCTCTCATATGACCCAACTGTTTGCCTCTTTTCTGTCCGAGCTTGGTCACTTCGTCAATCCAAGTTTTCTGTGGACGTCCTCTTGGCCTCTTTTCTGTGGGTCTTGCCTCAAAAAATTTTCTGGGTTCCCTGTCCTCATCCATCCTCATAACATGGCCGAACCATTTGAGCATTTTCTTTTCCATGATTTCCAGCATTGGTGGCACCTTAATATTTTCTCTAATCCGTTCGTTTCGGATGCAATCTCTTCTAGTTCGGCCAGCTACTCTTATCAGATATTTCATTTCGGCAGTGGTAAGTCTACTTTTATGCCTATCTAGAAGGACCCAGCTCTCACTACCATACAGTAGGGTTGGAAGGTAGAGTGTATTGTATATATGGATCTTAGTTATATTCTTTCCACCTCTCGTTTTCCTAAGTGTTGCAGATCTGGTAATAGATGCTGTTTAGGGAACACATTAAACTTTATATTTAAATTTAATTTAATTTAAATCAAGTAAACACAGCACAGCTGTTATCTGGAGCATACTGCATATATACCTCAGTTGTATTGTGACGCCGCCATTACTGATGCCTAGACGCTCACGCAGCGTGAGACATTTAACTAGACTGGCCAGTTTAAAAATTTGTAATTCCACTGGTTTACTAAACATGGAGTAAAAAACTACAGCGGCCGGCAAGGGGCCAAGAAAGGAAGAGAGAAAAGATGAACAAGAAGACTGGCAACTAGAAGAAAAGAGAAAATGCAAGTATCCCAACCCACCTATATTTAACCTCCATATAAAATTACATGTAATAAAATATAGCAATCAATTTTAAATATTCACTTCTTTAATCCATTAACTCCTCTAATTTTACAGTCCACAGCAATAAATTATCACAGCTCTTAAAGCAGAATTATTATGACAATATCCCTGACAGCCTTGGAAGGGATTGGCATAGTAAAATAAACAGATGCCATTTGCTTTTTTGATCCTTTTTGATATCTCTTGGTCTATTTTTCCATTTCTTCCAACAACTGTCCCAAGGTATGTATATTCCTCTACCAACTCCAGATTCTTACCCCTACAGTTTATTTGTATGTCTTCGATTTCTCGACCTATCTGCATAATCTTACTTTTTTCTTTGTTTATGATCATATCTTTTCTCTCAAGCTCAGATTCCCATTCCACAATCGCTTGCTGTAATTTTGCGTATAAGCCTGTTATGAGGACAATATCATCTGCGTAAACGAGAGCTTGGGCTAGAATTGTTCTCATATTCCATTTTCCTATAATTGTTCTTCTAGTCCTACGTTTACAGATTTTCAGAATCTCATCCATGAACACAATATATAGTAGGGAGGGGGCTGAGACCGTCCTCTTGTTTGACCCATTTGTCCATATTAAAGCTGTTTGATTCCTTCCCATTGATCCTTACTATATCCTTAGAATCTTTATATGTCGATTTTATTGCTTGGATAAGGTCTCCTGGAATGTTCTTATTTTTCAGTGCATTCCATATTTCTTCCCTTGGCACCGAATCAAAAGTTTATTTTTGGTAATCAGTAGTTACCAAAAATAAACTTCTTGAAGTGTCTGGCACTTGTGTCAAAATCATTATTCTTTTACAAGACAGCTTATATGGTCTGTATTACCAAACACATCTTACTTTACAATTTTTTTTTAATGAAAGAAACATTCTGAAGAACAGCAAGACAGTCAGGATGTTGATGATTTCTTCCTATATAGATAAATTCTCTGGGAATTGATAGGTTATAAATAATAGTGGTGAATACATAAGGGAAACCTTTCTCAGAAGTGTTATGCTCCATATCATATCCGTTTGTGAATCACAGGATTTGCTGTTATTCACAGAAGTCAACTTCTCTAGTATCCCAAAAGGGTGCAACATCTCAAATTGGAGAAGACCAGACAAGAGGGAATAGAAAAGGGCTCACTCTATTTGGAAGATTGAGAAATATTTCTACTGTACATCAACTCTCAACAATTGAAGTCATCATTCCTCATCAACTTCTAAGTTTGAACGGGCTTATGACAGGGAGATGGACTATCACCGGTGTTTTTCAATTTACCCCTAGGAAGGTTATGAGAACAATATTACAAGAAAATGGAGAGGTCCACGTCGGAATGAATTATAATATCCTTGGATACGCAGATGATATAGCTGTCCTTGAAAGTAATCAAGAGGAAATTGAGAAACTCAGGGTGAAATGTAGTAAGTAAAAACCAGGATCAAATTCATACCACCGAACCGTCGCCTTCAGAAATACTGGCGACAGTTAATTGATTGGACACTAGTGTCAACGATGATATTAAAAACATCACATTGCCTCTCGATAAGTACGATGAACTAAGTTTCGATCTGAATGCTCGATTTTCGAAGATAGAAAATCACATAGGGGGCCAATCAAAACATTAAGAGGAAATTATCTCAGAGAATAAAGCCCTAAAATGTAAAGTGAGCAAGCTAAAATTATGGCTGAATAAAGCCGAGCAGGGCTCGGTAAGTAGACCTTTCGAGATCTGAGCCAACCCTGTGCGAGCAGGTGAAACTCCCGCAGCCCTAGTGACAAGCATAGGGGCCAGTCTGGGAATTAAGCTGAATGTTGAAGATCTGGGCACTGTGCAACGGTGCAGGACCAGAAAAGATGACCCTCGTCCTTCACCAGTCATCGCGCTCTTTGTCAGAAAATCAGTGAGGGATGACCTGGAGCAGAGAAGAAAAGTGAAGAGACTGCCACCCATATATTTCAGGGAGGAGGTGTCCTCGACAAATAGGCACCCCTACTGGCTTGTCCGACAGAAAAAAGGCCAGGAAAAATAAAATACGTATGGCTCACTGCAGGAAATGTGTGGTGCCAAAAAGAAGACGGCCATCAGGTGGTATTCATCGACCGGGCTCAGGATCTCGATGTCTTTGTCTGAGTCTCATCTACTCATCAGCAGCAAGGAAAAAGCTGAAAATTTTCACTCGTTGAAAATTTTGACTTCAATACTATATTATCTTAACTCTTGCTTTCTATTTATTGATTTTCATTTATTTGTTTTTACTCATGATTTCTTCTCTTTAATTTACTTTTTTACTTTCACTTACGTATATATGTAATATATAGTAAGGGTAAGTATTGCGATCGAGACAATTTTTAAATCTGAGTTTTCAACAGAAATACACGTTTTGAGGTACCCTGAGTCGAAATAACCAAGTCCCGAAAAATGGTCTGTGTGTGTGTGTGTGCTTGTATGTTAGCAGTCTAGCTCAAAAACTAAAAGTCCTACGAAACTGATATTACGTATTTAAGATAGGTATATGCCTTAGATG